TTTTTTTTTGGTTACCAGGAATTGAACTCAGAGGCACTTGGCCACATCCCTAGCCCTATTTTGTATTTTATTTAGAGACAGGGTCCCACTGAATTGCTTAGCACCTCTTTTGCTGAGGCTGGCTTTGAACTCATGATTCTCCTGCCTCAGCCTCCCAACCCCAGTCCTTTGTTTTATTTTGAGACAGGGTCTCGATAAATTGCTTTGGGCCTCCCTAAATTGCTGAGGCTGGCTTTGAACTTGCCATCTTCTTGCCTCAGCATCCGAAGCTGCTAGGATCACAGGCATGTGCCATCATGCTTGGCCAATAAGAAGATTTGAGGAGGAAGGAGATGTCTGGAGCAATTATTTCATAAAAATACTTACACAAATTTAAATAAATACTTTAATAAAAGAATAACTAAGTGTAGGGCTGGGGGTGTGGCTCAGTGGTAGAGCTCTTGCCTAGCATGTGTGAGGCACTTGGGTTCTATCTTCAGCACCACATAAAAACAAATAAATAAAGGGATTATGTCCATCTACAACTAAAAATAAAAAATAAAAAAGAAGAAGTGTAGCATTCACATCTGATTAAGTAAATTCAGTAAACAATAAAACTGTTCTATTGGTCCTTTAAAAATTAGTTTTGATAATACTTATCAAATCCTGTGGCCCTTCCACATTAAGATACACAGTAACTTTCTCTCTCCCTTTTTTTGTAGTGGGATTAAACGCAGGGGTGCTTTATCACTGAGATACATCCCCAGTCTTTTTTTATTTTTTGAGACAGGGTCTTGCTAAATTGCCAAGGCTGGCCTTGAACTTGTGATCCTCCTGCCTCAGCCTCCTGATAATTGTTTTTTAATGACATATAAACTTGTGCTAATGTTTTGAATTTTATGATGCTGAGCATGTTCTGCACTGGTGCCAACGTCTAATACAATTATATATTTACAAATACACCTGCTACACAGTGAAAAGAATTAATTTAGTCCATATGGATCAATGGACCCCTTTTGAAATTGCAACTTAGACACTCTTAAATAAGTGTTTAGACTTTTAAGAATCTAACTCATATCTGAACATGTTTATAAACCTCTTGATTTCTAACATATTATAGAAACCACCAGCAATTAAAAAATACTCAAGTTCTACTCACTGTTGGCTACTGTTATTAGAGAACACACAGCAGTATCTGGTATGCTGCAAGCTTTTAAGATGGCTTAAACTTGAAAAATTTGGTCCATTAGCTTTATCTGATGGAAGTGAATTTGCTACCTAGTTCACTTTGTGTCAAGAGCTAAAACTGTGAAGTTAACTTTCTCTTATTGCTGGGTAATAACTGAAAATAAAAGATTCATGTTAAAAAAAATTAGGCTTTTCCTGAGGCAAATCACTTACTATTGTCAACAGTCTCGGTTTTTAAATCTCTAAAAAGGCAATAACCATGTGAAGTCCCAGAGAGTTTGGATAACACTTCACTAAATACCCTCAATTTATGCCCCCCCCCCCTTTTTGATACTGGGGAGTGAATCCAAGGGAGCTTAACTACTGAACCACATCCCCAGACCTTTTTTACATTTTATTTAGAGACAGGGTCTCAGTTACTTAGAGCCTTGCTAAATTGCTGAAGCTGGCTTTAAACTGGTGATCCTCCTGCCTCAGCCTCCAGAGCCACTGGGATTACAAGTGTGCCCCACTACGCCCAGCCCCTTCATCTCTTTACCACATGCCCAATGTGCTATCTATAGCTTGGAATGTGGCTCAGTGGTATTTGCATGAGGCTCTGGTTCAATCCTTAGTACCTGAAAACAGTAACAACCACAACCAATATGCTAACCACCCTAAATATTTGTTCCCCACAAGTGCATCATCCTTCTTGAATATCTTCAAATTGTTCCTATTATCTGTCATCTTCTTTTCCAGGTCTCCAAGAATCAGTGATGTCCCCTCCTGAGATACCTGTTCCAGGATCCCCACCATGCCATTTATTATTCTTTCCATCATCTGCTATCCAAACCTGTTTTTTTTTTTTTTTAAGTGAACCACTAATCACACTGTATAAATAATGGGTAGTTCTTATTTTTTGAATGCTAGGTCACACGTGTCTCTCTCTCTCTCTCTCTCTCTCACACACACACACACACACACACACACACACACACACACACGGTATCCTATGCCCTCCTTATAACCACTTTGTAAAATAGGTACTGTTATTCCCTTGGTTTTATCAATGAGGAAAGAAGTTGTTAAATAGCTTGCTGAAAGTCACTCAAGTACTAATTATTACAAATTAACATTACTACCAATTAGTAATAATTAGTATGACTGGGATTCACAGCCTGGTCTTTGACTCCAATGCCATTCTGCTGTATTTAGTGGGGAACTTGAAACTTCTTACACCTTTGTAGCCTTAGGAAAAAGAGCCCAAACAGCTGACACCACATTTGGTGAATAAAAAAGGCAGAGAATATGTCTATCCATTGATTTGCTTACTATGTTGCTAAGAACCTGGAAATACAAAATTGATATTATAAGATCTCTGTCCTCAAGGAATTTATAATCAATCAGTCTGTTGGGGAGACAGAAACAAGTAAACAGATACTGAAATACAGTGTGTGGTAAATGCTATTTTTATGGATAGGTTGCTGAGAAAACAGAACAGGGAGGAAGAAAACAAGAAAAATGTTATGGAAATCTGAATTTTTCCTTTTTCTTTTAAAGCCCCAATTAAGCAGGGTTCTACTATATTGACTTTCTATTGTAGTTTGTATGGCAAGGATTATGTAGTTTAAAAAATTAGATTACCTCTGTGTTTGTATTTCTATTTTATCTAAAATTATTCACTAGTCTAATTCAAATACATATATTTTAAAAACCCGCTTAAAAGGATGATATGCTTTCTAAATATGTTCCATTTATACCATTATATGTATTTTTCTCTCCACAGAGAAGGAAAAACAAAGGAAAATAAAACTACTGGTTACATAACTGGCCAGAGTTAGAAGTACTTGCAACAAAACCACAATGAAGGTAGGATTTTTTTTTTTTAAACTCAGGAGGGGTCAAAAAAGGGCCAAAAAACAAAACAAAACAAAAAATCCTGACCCTTTATTCCTACATTGAAAAAGGAAGAAACGACTTTTAGACTTTCCCCTCTCTCCTTCCAATTTAACCCTACAATTAAGGTAATTTAGATAATATATTCCTAGCATTTGTTCACTTGCCAAACAATAGTTTATTCAAGTGGTGACTTTCTGGGGCTGTTATGGAAAACAACAAATGAAAATCCTTATAAAATTCAAATTAGATTATATCTGTGACTTATTTCTTGTTCAAAGCAATTACTATGGAAGAAAATAAGTTAAGCCTAATAATGGCACTTTCTTAAAGTTGGGTACTCTCAAACTTTTATGGCTTTCCTAGGTGGTTGTTCGTAGAGTAAAGCTCTATTCTAATCTGAAGAGAGTTACATTTCTCCAAACATAATGGGACTAATAAAGACGAAAATAAAAGAGTAGAGGTGGTAGAGAAAGGAAATAGAAGTTTGCATTTGTGAAATTAATGAAGATGACAATAAAGACAAAGTTCTAAAGGGAATAAAATCTAAGCAATTAAGAAAGTTCATCTTGAAATACACACAGGCCCGAGAGAAAGAATTATCTAACTTTTTTGAGTTGAAGTTGTAGAGAATCAGGTTCAAGTTCAAAGTAGGTTAAACTTGTTTTCAGCTTCTTATCATCCTGACTATTCAGCAAAATGAAAATAACCTAGTGGACAAAGAATTTACATAAAACCTTTTTATTTTCTCCTAATAAATTTTCTCTATCAGGAAAAAGTATATAAAAGGAACATTTTTTTTTAACTAGTCACCATCTTAAATAAGTTAAAGATTCTTTTTTTTTTTTTTTAAAGAGAGAGTGAGAGAGAGGGGGAGAGAGAGAGAATTTTTTTTAATATTTATTTTTTAGTATTTGGCAGACACAACATTTTTGTATGTGTTGCTGAGGATCGAACCCCGGGGCCGCACGCATGCCAGGCGAGCGCACTACCGCTTGAGCCACATCCCCAGCCCAAGTTAAAGATTCTTTAAAATTCTCTAAAGCTTGGCAAGAAGCTGAGATAATCAATAGCTGTTTACAGCAAGGAACTGCAATGTGTTACTTGCTATAGAAAAAAGTTAGAATCATGGCATCACAGAATTAAAGGGAATTTTGTGAGTTTCCCTTAGACTTTATTCACATACTAGAGAAGTTGCTGACAATTTACAGATTTAAAAAATAAGGGGCTTCAAACTATGGCTATATTTGATACCATAATATTAACTTCAGATTTTAATTGCATGCTTAAGACTCCAAAACCACAATTCCCCTAGAAAGTATAACTGTTACCATTTAGAGAAAATAATAGGGATAAGTACCTTCACCAAGTAACTTTATTAAACAGTGATGCTATGCTCAGTTACCATAATGACCATCTATTGTACTTTTCTTTCATTAAAAATTTCTTAAGAGTATTCACTACTGAATTACCGTTTATCTTGTAAACTGAGGCAAAATTTTAAGTAACTATAGAAGTCACAAAGTCCACATTACAAAATTAGTGAACCATGCTCCCTCTTTATATAATATTCTGTAAACTGCTAAATTTAAATGTTGTCACTCATTGGGTTTAGAGTATTTTCTGGATATAACCTTAACTGTGTAAGTAAAAAGTAATTCTACATTGATTTTTACTGTGCTCATTTGTTTGAAAACTCTTTTCATAAGCTGCCATGATTCAATTTCACCTGTTTGTAACGAACACAGAACTCATTGTGGGTGAAAACAAACCAGTGTGTGAAAAACGTAAAAGAAGTTATCAGATATACAAAGGAGTGAAACAATTGAGTGAAAAATACTTCAACCACAACATTTTTTCTCAATCCATAAGCGGGCATTTCAATTTTGATATCTTAGTGACTATATTTTCTCACAAAATCTTCAGAGATTCCAAAAACTCCGAAACCGAGGACTCACCTGGATCATCTGAATCCCGAATCCGGGCTTTTATTTCTGTTAAACTGGGCTCTTGGGAGACCGAAGCCGCTGCCCCCTCCTCTGGATCCTCTACTTTAGTCACAGTAAAGTGTGGCATCGTTATAGTTCGAAATGCTTCGCTTTCTGTGTTTAAACTTCCTCGCAGTCCGCTCTGCCTGCCTGCGCTTTCCACCTTTCACACTGAGCACTGCCTAAGGGAGACAGTGGCTGGGAATCGGGAAGTACTCGGCGCTCACGTGACCTGCAGCCGCGAGGGAGTGAGGCTCTAGAAGACACGCCTTCCTCAGTGTTTATCATTCACTTGAGAGGATTAAGCACTCCACCCCTTACGTATTGTTATTACCCTAAAGAACCCCAAGAACTGTTCAGGCTGCTTTTCCAGAGCCGCCAAAACCTGGAGATGGCAGAATTTATGAATTGTTGTCAACTGTGTGCTACCGGCACCTTCCTTCACTTAAAGCACTGCCATACCTGTGTGCACATCAGGATCTCAACCTCTGCCCTCATATTTCACATGAAAGACTGGGGAACAGTTCATTTCACAAACAAACTGTATCGACTTAGAAACAAAAAATGGACTATTTGTTAGGCTTTTGTTGTTACTTTATTTCAAAGCTCATACAAATCATTTTTTTTCCTTCAGGGGGAAACATTTAGCAAATATTTAATGACACCTACATATTTTATATATCGTTCAAGATGCTGCAATGTATACATCCAAGAAGAGATATTAATTTTCCTAAAATACAAGTTTGTTTAAAAGAGCAAACTATATTTAAAGGGAAGAGTTCAGAACTTTGTTTTGTACAGGAAGCTTAAATATGTTTAAAAGAAAAAAGAAAATCCAAAGAAATCCTTCTGAGTAAGAAGTATACAGCTCCTTCCGCATATACCTAAAATAACATACTTAACGCTTGGGTCTAGTTCATTGGTTAACTGTATCAAGTTCTCAGTTGATGACTTTAACTACAGGAGTATGAGGCCAACCTCTTCACTCAGCCAGGGAAATCAGTAAATTGAGCCCTGTGTTAATTTCCATGTTGATGATGTAACACAAAGGCTTTGTTAGGAATGCCTTCCACCTGACATGTAAAACTATGCTGAATTTATTTAACAGTGAAGGAATGACAGTTTGTAATCCTCAAAGAGATGCCACTTCTAAGACAAGAGGAACCCGATATTGTCAAAGACCTACTTTGTTCTCTGCATTGCACTAGAAACTTTACACCATGATTGCATTTAGCCAAGAAACTTGCCCAAAGTCACAGAGCTTGTAAATGGTGAAGCCCAACTTCAAAATCTCCAACGCCCTTGTGGTATGCAACCTGGAAAGTTTAAAAGAAAGCTCATATACATTTACCTAAATTTTATTTCCTGTGTTCCTAATAGCACTGATTTGTAATCTTGGCTGCACACTGGGATTACGTGGGGGAGCTTTTAAAAATACTAATGCTGAGCTGGGTGTGGGTGCATGCCTATGATCCCAGAGACCTGGGTGACCGAAGCAGGAGGATCGCAAATTTGAGGTCAGCCTGGGCAACTTAGTAAACCCCTGTCTCAAAATAAGAATTTTAAAAAAGGGTGGAGATGTAGCTTGGTGGTAGAATGCTTGCTTAGCATGTAGGAAGTCCTGGGTTCATTTCTCAGTATCACAAACAACAACAACAAGAAGACAAGTGTGATGCCTGGGTTCCATCTTCCCTTCTCAGATTTTCTAACTTGTTTTGGAACACAACCTGAGTGAAAAGACTTTTTAAAAATTCCTTCAGATGGTTCTTATATGCAACCACTATAGAATTACTATCATACAGGAAAGAGGTAACTTTAAAAAAAATTTTTTTTTTAGTTGTAGATGGACACAATACTTTTATTTTTATGTGGTGCTGAGCATTAAGCCTAGTGCCTCACACTTGCGAAGAAAGTGCTCTACCACTGAACCACAACCCCAGCCCCTCAGGTAACTATTTCTATTTTTTGAAAGAGATTAAGTGAGGATTGGATAGTGTACTTTGGTGATTCTTCCATATTTACAACTCAGTTACTCTACTAATTTATTTGAAGGAACTTAAGAGAACAACCAAACTGTAGATAATTTCAATAGTATATTCTGGATTCCAGTTTGTTAATACTTTACAACCAATAGATATTTCCAGTTGGATCTTGCCTTTCATACTTATTTTATAAAGAGGATCAAACTGTGGCTAATCTTCTATATTTGATAGAAAACAAAGACTTGTGTTCATAAATCTGTGTATGGCTTGTGTGTATAAGTCTATATACAAATATTATTCTGTCACCCTTCCCCTCTTAAAAAAAATTCTCAAGCTAAACAACCAGGATGTGACAAATTTCTGTTAATGTAGTTTAGGAGTAACTTATTTACCAACTTGATGCTTGGATACCACATTGGTCAGCAATTTAATAATAGTTCTTACCATGCACTGTAAATAAAAGTGCAAGGGCATAGAAAATTGAAGGCAAAGTTAAAGTAATATAGAAAAAGCTGGAGGTGGGAGAAGTAGTACAGAAAAAGTTGAGGTGTGTATAATATATATGGGGAGTAACTAGATAAAGGTGGCAGGATGTAAGAAATAGATATTTAAAGTACAATATTCTGTTATGATAAGATACCACTACACCCCAAAACGGTTAAACATAAATAAGGCTAACACCACCAAATATGGCAAGAATATGAAACAAAATGAACTTTTGGGGAGTGTGAAACTGTTAAACCACTATGGAAAAAGGTCCAACACTTTTCCCTACAAGTCAGCAATTCCACTCCTAATTATTTACTCCTAAAAAGGAAAAGATATTCCCACAAAAGGACTTGTACAAAAATGTTCATACCAGATAAAATAAGAAAAAAAATGTTCATATCACACTCCCAAACTAGAAACAATTCAGGTGTATATCTGTGAGAGAACAGATACACAGTGATACAGTCAAACAAAGGATTACTATTGAGCAGTAACAAGGAATGAACTACTGACAATGCAACCACAGGATGAATCTCAAAAACATGCTAAGTAAAAGAAACTTCAACCAGAAAAGTATATCATGTGTGAATCCACTGTTATGAGGTTTTGGAACAGGCCAAAGTAAACGATGATGCAAAAAATCAGGAAATGGTTGCCTCTGGGGGGATGGAGGCAGAATTTAACTGGAACCAGACATGAGAGGACTCCTGGAGTGACAGTAAATTCTACATCTTGATAGGGTTTAGGGTTTCACAGGTGCATACATTTGTCAAACTCAGCCATTATTCACTTAGAATTTTGCACTGCATGGTATAAGAAGTTTACCTCAAAAGAAAACAAGTTGCAAGCAAATTCTGAGTTCTAATAAATAATATGCATTTTGAAGTACTTGGGGGAAATGAACTGATACCTGCAATTTACACTGAAATACATATAATAGGATATATGGATAGATATGTGAAAGGACAAATATAATAAAATGTTAATGATCAGCCAGGCTCAGTGGTGCACGCCTGTAATCCCAGCAGCACTGGTAGGCTGAGGCAGGAGTACCTCAAGTTCAAGGCCAGCCTCAGCAATTTAGCCAGACCCTGTCTTAAAATTAAAAATGGGCTGGGGATGTTGCCAAGTGATAGAGCACCCCTAGGGTCAATCACCAGTACCAAAAAATAAATACTACAGATAGAACTGGGTGATGAGTGTATGAATGTTCACTATAAACTTTTATGTTTGAAGTCATATAAAATGTTGAAAAAAATGCAATGAACTGACTCCACTATGAAAATGAATAAGCAAGTTATAGATTGGAAGAAAATATTCACAAAACATATTTGATAAAAGAATTGTATGTAAAACATACAAAAATCCCTTATGACTTAATCATAAAAAACACAAAATGGGTAATGGTTTTAAATAGACAATTGTTAAAGGAAGAGATACAAATGGCTTATAAGCACTTGAAAAGGTGCTCAACATCACTGACCATCAGGAAAATACAAATTAAAACCTACAATATAAAGACTATTGGCAAAGATGTAGAACAAACCTTATAGGGGAAATAAAATAGCAGAACCACTTTGGAAAAAATTCTGTCTTTTTAAAAAATAAATCTAAAACATGCATCTACCCTATGACCTAGTCCTTCCTCTTGATATTTTTAACCAAGAGAAAGAAAAGCATAAGTCTACCGAAAACATTCAAACAAGTATTTATATAGCAACTTTATTTATAATAGCCCAAACAGGAACTAGCCTAAGTCTCTAACAATATAGGATAAACAACTATAGTATATTCAGACAATTGACTCAACAAACAAAAACTACAGAAACAATCAACATCATCAATGACTCTTAAAACATTATGCATTATAAATTATATATTACATTCTTCATGTGCATACTACAATGGTTAGTGGTGAAATATCCTAATGTCTCCAACTTAACTTTGAAATGCTTCAAAAATAGATTAATGGAGAGATAAATATGGAATAAAACACATAGAAAACTGTTAATTGAAGCAGATAGGAGATAAAAATTAATGAATTCACAAAACAATTCTTTCAAATTTTCTGCACATTTGAAAACTTCCATAATAAAATGTTGGAAAAAAATACTATAAAAATGAAATTCTTTGAAACCTAAAGATCTTCAGGCCTCAGTATAAAGAAAGGCACTTCAGGGTCAAATTCCATTTCACATAAAAGTTAGGAAGCTGCACAAATCTTTTCTTATACTTTGAGTTTAAAGTCTTGAATTGAAGTGAGTCATCACACAGGTTTAAAATATTTACGCTGTCACATTAAAAAATGTTTTTTTTTTTTTTTTTTTAAATACTGGAAATTGAACCCAGTGGTACTCTATGACTGAGCCATATGCCCAACCTTTTTTATTTTTTATTTATTTATTTTGGGTACCAGGGATTGAACTCACACTGAGCCACATCCCCAGACCTATTTTGTATTTTATTTAGAGACAGGGTCTCACTGAGTTGCTTAGCACCTCCCCATTGCTGAGGCTGGCTTTGAACTCGAAATCCTCCTGTCTCAGCCTCCTGAGCCGCTGGGATTACAGGTATGTGCCACTTTGCCCAGCTACCCTTTTTATTTTAAGACAGAGTCTTGCTAAATTGCCCAGACTGGTCTTGAACCTGTGATCCTCTTGCCTCAGCCTCCTATGTAGCTGGGATTACAGGAGTGATCCAACACAACTCATTAAATATATGGTGTTTTAAAATACTAAGGCATAAAGAAAGGCCAGAACAGGGCAAAAGGGTTTAATATATTAGACCAAATAGTATACACATTTATTTTGCTAACTAGTTTCAATAAATTTGTGATAACCAGTATTGTTTTATTCAACCCATTTAATTAAAAATAAAGACAAGTTAAATAGAGTAAAAAAGATTGAAACAAGGGTAAGTCAGTGAAAATTTATTTTCAATATAATAATTAGCTACTTTTTTTGGGAGGCGGTACTAGGGATTGAACACGGGGGCACTTAACCACTAACCATGTCCCCAACCCTTTCTATTTTTTATTTTGATACAGGGTCTCCCTAAATTGCTGAAGTTGGTTTTCAACTTATGAGCCTCCTACCCCACCCTCCTGAACCCCTGGGATTATAAGCATGGGCCATCATGCCCAGCTCTGTTAAATTTTTACACATTGTTATTCTTTATCCTGAGAAATCACTCAGGTTCAGACCAAACCCTATGCATTTTTTCCTCTTATTCTTGGAAACTGAGAACTATTACTATACAACTGAAAGCTAAAAAAATAATCTAGAACCATATAATCTTTTTTAAAATTTTTTTTAATTTTTTGGTACTGTCCCTTAAACCCAGGGACACTTTACCACTGAGCTACATCTCCAGCCCTCTTTATTTTTTGACACAGGGTCTCACTAAATTGCTTAGGACCTCAGGCCTGGCCTCAAACTTGCAATCCTCCTGCTTTAGGCTCCCGACTTGCTAGGATTATAGGCATGCACCACTGCACCTGGCTAGAACCATATAATCTTATTGCTGAAATGGTTCTTAAAAATTACCCAGTAACTGGGCTGCTGATGTAGCGAAGTGGTAGAGCACTTGCCTAGCACATGTGAGGCACTGGGTTTGATCCTCAGTACCAAATAAAAATAAATAAAGGTATTGTGTCCATCTACAACAACAAAAATTTTAAAAATTATCCAGTAACTATTCACAATGAATCCCTGATGCAAGAAAACTTCTGTAATAAGTGAGTACTAAGCAAAACACCTGGAAATAAAAGCTACATGTATTTAGAAAATATGAGTTGTGACAGACATTGTTCTGTTCATTCTTGAGAATATCCTATATGATGTTGA